ATGTATTTAACTAGCTCCAATTTAAGTAATATATCACTATGTGCTCCAACAAGGCTGTTAATTAGATACAGCTAGTAAAGGAGCAGAACTGAATCATCACGTATAAAGAAGACACAACAGAGGTCGCAAAGGAAGGATTTACCTCCTGTCATCCACCGGAGGGGCTCAACAAAAACAGATGAGCACTCAGCCTCCTCTGACTTGTTAAATGGGTTTCCGCTTTTTCTCTTACGCCAATCAAAGGATGTCTCACCTTCCCCAGGAATGTGATCCACCACATTTTCCTGCAAGGCGACCAGCCTTCGACATTTCTTGCAGCGGTATGCACGTGCATAAAAATTATCCACTTGTTGGGATGAATGTGCCTCTGAAGCAATTTCATGGGACAAGATCCCTGGATCTTCTGCAAGTTTAGAAATGTTGATTTTCTCCCCACGGTTATAGGACTCACCTGAAGGTATGGAGAGGCAATAATTCAAAAGAATAAGCAACAAGGAAATTCACCTCTAAATGTTAACAAAATAAAATCAGAAAGAGGAAAAAAATATCAACCACCTAGAGGTGTAAAGGTATGAGGTAGAGCCAGGCCAGCATCCCAAACTCGAAGTAAAGACCAAGGACACACATGACTCGTATTTATGTATGACTGAAAAATTATGGGTGATTACCTAAGTAAAATTGGGAGAAACTATAGTTGAGATTGAGATCAGAAGACTTGTAATTAGGAGATTGGAAGTTGAAATTATGAGAGAATGGCTGGAGTTAAGTAAGAACATATGTGAAATTTAAAACTAATATTCATTATTTTGAAATAATATAATTCCCATGCTAGGTCAATAGAGCCCTATCTTGAACAGGTCAAGGATGAAGTCTGGGATGCTCCAATACTTTTTATACCCCTGTTGATGATGATACATAATTATTTGCAAGCCCTTTGACATGTCAGTGACTATTTCTTTTTTCTTTTCAAATCTTTTTACTTGTAAGTGAACTTCAGTGGTAAAACATGTCAATTTTTTAGCAGGCAGAATCTGTGATGCGTGGCCACCTATCCTAGCAAAAGTGTACACAGGCAGCAAGAGAAATTCTATATGCAGTTACTAAGTAAGCAATCTTAGAGAAGAGTCTAATAAACAATTTACATAAAGTGGTCTACGGCATCCATCTTAAAACTACATGAATATAAAGGAACATAACAATCGGTTCAGTAAATATTAACAGCTGTACATGTGTTGTTAGTTCTTTTTCGGGATTAATTATTGTCAGAGGTTTTATTCATGACATATAATGATTTCATACCCAAGCAATGCTATCGAGTTTCAATGTTTAGAAATAACTTATAACTTATAGATAAAACTGGTATACCCAGAAAAAAGGCAAGCAAAGGGGGAACAATCCAAGATAATCCCAATCTACATTCTTTGTAGTTCACCAGGTTTAAAGGAGAAGATGAAGCATTGAAGAAGAAAATTCTCTTCTCCATGTTTCAGATTTTTTAATAGAAAAAGGATAAGTTTGGAAGAATTTCAGTTCTTAACTAATGTGTCAAGAGCGTTGCCAGTTTATTGTTTCTGGAAATAATAACCCTGCCTACTTCTCAAGTTTGCAGCATGCATACCATGGTGCTGGAGATCGTATGTTGTTTAAATAATGATTATACTAGGTTCAATACGTGACCAATCTCTAATCCAACCATTGCCTAGACATACCCTCCACCTCCAAACCAAATGATTGGGATGACCAATCCTGCAAAATCCTAAAACTGGTTTGCAACAGTACTAACTGCAGTATAGTCCAAATCTACTGATACGGTATATTATCTACATGCGGCAATGACATTCCTCTATCCACTTCTTAAATTCATAGACTTTCACCATATATCCCTTGACTCGAGACAACTAATACACAGAATCTAGATAACAACTGGACCAAACAAATAATATAGAATAGTTAAAATCTGAAGAGAGGATGAGAAAAAGAAAAATTGCAAAAAGTAAAACCACCACTCAACTATAGGAGTTGTTACAATCTCATCCTCAAATCTTCAATTTGATCAATCACAACCTTAAACTTAACTTACGGATTGTTACAGTCGAAACCTCAAATATGGCAAAGTGCACAAATCACCTCTAAACTATGAGTATTGTTATAATCAAACACTAGAATTATAATATTGGTACACTATTATAAACTATGAGAAGGTCCCCTACTTCATCTATCTCTCCACATTGGTGCATTTTCCGTAAGGAAAGTGCAGAAACACAGCCACATCTTTTTATCAATTGTCTTTGCTAGAATATTTTGGAGCCGTATCCTCACCTATTTTGGATGGAACACTGCCCTACCGGATGACCCCCTCTATTTTTGGAAGCCACTCTTATCGGTCACCCCTTCAAAAAGAGAAAAACAGCTTCTCTGGAAGCTCTTTATTAGGGCCTTTATTTGGCAATTATGGAGGGAAAGGAATCAGCGCATCTTCAAAGACAAAGAACAGTCATTTGAACGGTTTTTTGACACCATAGTTTTAGTTGTTATTTCACGGTGTAAATACTCTCCTCTCTTTCACAACCATAACTTCTCAACTCTTTTATACAGCTGGAGAAGCTTCTATAGCCCACACATGCTCTTTTGTAATCCCACCTATGGGCCTCTCTTGTAATTTCATACATCAATAAAATTATTTCTTGTAATTTCATACAAACCTCCCTACCTATTATCTCTCTCTATTCCATATGCCTTCTAAGGTTGCCAACACCATAAATAGTCTCTTTAGAAGCTTTTCCTTTGGAAAGGTAACATAGAAGCCAAGGGGATGAACCTTGTAAATGGGACATTGCCCAGCAGCCACTTTTGGAGGGGGTTTGAGCCTGCCTGATATGAAATTGAAAAACAAGGCCCTCTTGGCAAAATGGATTTGGAGATATTTGAAAGAGAGAACAGCTCTCTGGCATAGAGTGATCGAAAGTTAGTACGATTATGCTTCTTGGCCCCATAAACCTTTCTCATCCACCCTCCCAACAGAAAAAGGACCATGAAAAGCGATCCTCAAAACACAGATGCTGGTTTTTGGTAGATTAGCATATAAGGTTGGAGATGGCAGAAACACCCCTTTCTGGACTACCCCCCGGCTGGTTAATGAACCTCTGAAGCAACATTCCCCCCTTCTCTTCGCCCTATCTTTGAGAAAGGAAGCAGCTGTTTGAGACCTTTGGTCTGTTGAAAATCTTTGCTGGAACCTGAGTTTTAGAAGAAACTTAAAGGATGCAGAAATTGTAGAATGGGCAGCCCTTACACACAAGCTCTCCACGATTCAACTGTCCACAGAATGGGACTCCCTATCCTGGAGGCTTCAGCCAAACGGCATTTTCTCCGCTCATTCCCTCATCAAGGACCTATCTCAACCTCGCCAGAATCCTCCTCAACGTCTATATGAAGGCATTTGGAGAGACACATATCCAAAAAAAGGTGAAATTCTTCCTTTGGGAACTCAGCCACCATGCTATCAACACTGGCGACAAGCTACAAAGAAGGATGCCCTATATGGCTCTTTCCCCCCACTGGTGTGTGATGTGTCAAGATAATAAAGAATCTCAGCAACACCTCTTTGTCACTTGCTCTTTTGCTACCAGCTTTTGGAACCACATCCTCTATGGCTGGTCCACTACATTACCAACCGACCCTCCTCTCTTTCTCGAATTTACCATAACAGAACACCTTTTAGAAAGAAGAAGGCGATTCTTTGGTAGAACTTTATGCGAGCTTATTTTTGGATTATTTGGAGAGAGCGAAACTATCGCATCTTTAATGACAAAACTCTCCCTTTTGATAGTTATTTTGATGCTATAGTCTTTACTGTCATTACTTGGTGTAAATCTTCCCCCATATTTCATCACTATAGCTACACTTCCCTTCTTTCTAATGGGAAGTACTTCATGTAATCCTCTTTTCAGGCTTTTGTAATTTCATACATCAATGAAATTGTTTCTTTTGACAATATATATATATATATATATATATATTTTGGTACCATAAAGTCCAAATTTTTTAAATTAATTCTTTTGTTTTCTTAAATCGAGATCGTTGATCAACAACTGAATCTAAAAACTAAATTTTTTTCATGGTTAATGTTGTAGATTAAAAAATTTAGGTTAAATTGTAACAATCCTTATAGCAAAGAGGTAGTTTGTGCAAATATTAAAGGGTTTTTTGTTTTCTTAAATCAAGATGTTTGATCAACACCGATCTAAAAACTAAAATTTTTCATGGTTAATGTTACGAATTTTATAGAATTAAAAAATTTAGGTTAAATTGTAACAATCCTTATAGTACAGAGGTAGTATAAGAATTTTGCAATATTCAAGGGTTAACTTGCAACAATTTGAAAGTTTACGGGTGATTGATCAAATTGAAAATTTGAGGGTATGATTGTAAACAGCCTATTTAGTCCTGGGTGATTTTTGAAATTTTCCCTTCAAAAGCTTAAAATTTAAATTTTCTTTAAAAAAAGACCATTATATTCAAAAACAAAATTTTCAAAAAGGAACTGAATGAATTGTATAGCAGCAGTACTCATTCAAACAAATGAACTAGATTGTGACAATACAAGACGGGGCGGTGAAAGAACCATAACATACCCAATATTTTCAGCCGAAATCGCTTGTATATGGGACTGGCATAATCAACCTTGAAACCCATTTCCTCGAACAGTTTTAACTGGAAAGGATACAAATTAGTAATTTAGCAAACTAGGATAGCTTTCTAGTGCATTGAAAGTCTGCACAAATGTTCTCGTTGTCTTAAAATGAATTAACAATATTTCCAAGAGCACCTGCTCCATAAACCCATCATTGGGGCTGACAAACTCACTGCTTTGTCGCAAGGAACCAAGTGCATCTGCATAAATGTATAGTCAAGAAAGAAAAACTACCATTGGTGGGGACCATAAGAACCTACTTATACACTGGTTCATAATATTCAAGCAAATGATGCTTATTCACACCTTCAAGAGATAGCTGTTCCTTTCTCATAAGATATGATGTGATAATAGCAGCACTGCAATGAATAAATGCAAAGAATGAAATAAATACTTGATGTTAAGAAAACTGGAAAAATCATCACACAGAGCTGCAGCCTGCAGTGGATGATGATAATCCGCTATAGCATGGGCGTGAAGTATATGAATCATTCCTACTTTTAACTTCAAAGAATTCGGTATAGTGCCCTTGAACGGGGAGTAATCTAGTCAGGTTGGAAAACATATTTTAACTTGTTCCTAGAAGCCTTTACTCTTTAGTATAGAAAACTCTGGCATCATAGTATGTGGTCATTAAAGATACTTAAGATAAGACCACTCTAGGGTTGACTTTTTACTGTAGGAACATGTGTCGATAGACTTGTTTGACCACGTTTTTGACCCCTTTCTCATCATTATTTACCAAAAAGAATTAGATATTCTTAAAGTAGAACATGCATAGAACATTTCTACATAAAAGTCAAACTACGGTACTTTAGAAAAAATAAGAGAAAAATGCGGTCAAAGTTGGAAGAAAATAACAGTTTTCTGTTCTGCACAAATTGCGCCTGGCGCAATTTTGAAGACCAAATTTGGCAAGACGTGCGTTTTGATTAATGAGGGGGCAAGGATGACATTTTCCATGTGTTTGAATCAAAGTATACCTGTGAGTCCAAGTCCAAGAGGGTTTGTTAGGTGAATCTCAACCCATTTCCACCTAAAATGGTGGGGAGTAAATCAACCAACTCAACGTGCTATACAAGGAAGTCATCCCTCCACTTGCAAATCATTTCTTCCAAGCTCGTTTACAGCTTCATTTACATTCTCTCTTCGTTGTAGAACTCATTCTTAGTCTTAGATTCAAGTTTTAGTTGTTATTTCCTTGTATTTTCGTACTTTATTGCTTTTAATTCAAGTTCTATCATTTGTTCTTCGTTTATTCTGTTATTCTTACGTTCTTTAGTGAGTTTACACTCCCCTCACACTTGAGAGAGAAGAGGTTCAAGCTAGAACTCATGGTACAGCTCGTTTATTCGTTTTAATTCAATGAAAAATACTTCCTTTATGTTTTCGTGCATTTTCTTTCCTTTAAAAACGTTCTAAATTAGTCATCAACCTCTTTGTGAAATACCTTAGTCAAAATGATTTGATTTTCAACACGCTCGGGATTCGCCCAGAATTGCGCCTGGCACTTTTTTGGGTTGGTTTCTAAAAACTTCTCTCTACGTCTTTTTTCCATTCGTACTTTATTGCTTTCAATTCAAGTTCTATCATTTGTTCTTCGTTTATTCTGTTATTCTTACGTTCTTTAGCGAGTTTACACTCCCCTCACACTTGAGAGAGAAGAGGTTCAAGCTAGAACTCATGGTACAACTCGTTTATTCGTTTTAATTCAATGAAAAATACTTCCTTTATGTTTTCGTGCATTTTCTTTCATTTAAAAATGTTCTAAATTAGTCATCAACCTCTTTGTGGAATACCTTAGTCAAAATGATTTGATTTTCAACACGCTCGGGATTCGCCCAGAATTGTGCCTGGCACTTTTTTGGGTTGGTTTCTAAAAACTTCTCTTTACGTCTTTTTTCCATTTGACCAACGAAAACTTGATTTATACACTAAAGCCCAACCCTGAGAAGGGAGAGTTAGGTAAAATATTAGGAAACCAGTATGGGATGTGACTTAGACATAAGCGCATAAAATATGGTCCTAGATATAGGCCCTCTGACCCATAATGCATATGAGTTAGATAAATATTCTCTAGGATTGTAATCACACATAAAGATATGATTGTAGATTACCCTAGCCTCTGCAGCAACCAAAAGCGGTAGTGAAAGAGTAGAACTCAATTTCCCAAGAAAAGCTAGGATTGTGCCTAGTGCATTTTCCCAACATTGTGTATATTCCATGTTTTGCATCAAAACTAAGGTAAGAAGCAAAGAGGTTGACTTTTATTAAATTTCTTGATAGTTAAAACCCCAAACGACAACATTTCATCACATTTTTCTTCCTAAATCACAATTGCATATTTGAACCATTTCACGACATTACTTGATTTTGAAAAGCAACAAGTCCTTGAGGATTCGACCTTGGATTACTTCCGAGTATTACTTGTGACCGTGTGCACTTGCAGGAGCCTCTAATTTTTTTGAAGGTAGAGAAAGTCCCAACAACCACATAGATCCTTTTATCTCTGCTGACGTTCTGAAGCATGTTGGTGAAAGAAATTCAAGACATTCAACAATACTTGGCATTCCCCCTCTGGAGATGAGGATGTTTCGTGTCAAGTTCTAAGCAATTCTCATTTGTATAGAAAAGCTAGTTCTCTGTAGCTCAATGTATTAGAGTCATTTTCTTCAATTTGTGGGTCAAGAGGATTAGGCACATTTTTAAGGATAGAAAGAGATTTTAACACTTCTCTAAGAGCTGTTGTTCATGCTACTTCGTGTTGGACTTCCTTGGAAAGAGATTTTGGTAATTACTCTCTCTTGTTGTTCATGTTACTTCGTGTTGGACTTCCTTGGAAAGAGATTTTGGTAATTACTCTCTCTTCTATAATGGACAATTGAAGAACCTTCTTGTAATGACCTCTATCATTTGTTTGAGAAGTCTCTTCATGTCGTTCCAATATGACCTACTAAATTTTACTAGAGGGGTTTCTTTTCTTTAGTTCAAGTTTCAACAAGTGTAGGGGGGGAGGATATAACTTTGGGAAAGGTAATAGAAGCTTATCCACTTCACTTGAGCTATGCTCGAATTGGCAAATTTTACTTTATAAAAAGATTGAGGGTTAGCCTTCCGAGAGGATCATCTACCTCCCACAATTATTTACCCAACGTTTGGCTACCTCAATCTGATGTTCCTTCCTTTATTTATAATTACTTGCCAGTAACAGACCTTTCTAACAATCCAAACGAACTCTAATCATCCCACATAAGTACCCATATGCTATTTATACCCTAATACATAACACTACCGGCCACTCAAGTATCACCTTGACTTTAAGGCCATGAATATAGGGTAGAGCTTCCATAAAAGATTCATGTGTCCAGCCGAGCAAAATCATTTTTCTTTTCTTATGAGAAACCAGACTTTCTTTTTTTTTTTTTTAAATAAGAAACGAACTTTTCATTGATGAATGAAAATGAATAATTATGAGAAACCAAGCTTTCATTGAGAGAAAATGAAAAAAATATATATACAAAGGACCTCAAAAACAAGCACAAAGAAAGGACCCCAATCCAAAAAAATGATACCTAAATTACAAAAAGCCTTAAATATACAGAAATGCAAAGAGAGGCATTAAACCTAACCAGCTCCCAATCCTCCTCCAAGACCTCTCAACTCCCCTGAAAATTTTGTTAGTCCTTCCAACCCAGACACCCCACAAAATGACAAAAAAACAAGCCTGCCACAACAGAGCCCTCAATCCCAAAAAGGCGGAAACAATAGCACCACTTGAAGAAGAGCAAACAACTTCACAAAATATGATTAAGATCATCATATTGCAGAGGACACACCACTGAAGCCACAACAACAAGGAAGAATGTCGATGAATACGGTCCAAGGTATTAACTTTCCCATGTAAAAACCTACCAGGCAAAGAACTTAATCTTCTTTAGAATCTTTACCTCCAAAGGGAGAAAAAAATCGAGGTGTTATGAGGGAGCGGTGGAACACTCCAAAGCTAAAACAAGGAACTACAAGTGAAATCCAAACACGAGTTTGGGGCCCAAGACCTAATGTCTCTCCTCTCTTGCACGAAACAGTCTTTCCCTACCAAAGCAAGCAAAGTAGTAACCTCGCACGTCTCCCTATCCGTTAAAGACCAATACATACAAAGAAATGGAAGGATAATTTCCTCAAGACCCCAAAACAGAGGCCACTAAATGCAACCTCATCCCTGAGAGGTGGTATAAGCAAGGTAATAAAAGACAAAGGGCTTGTCACCCACCCAACAATCTTCCCAAAAATAGGTTTCAGTACTATCCTCGATAGAGCCAGAAACAAACTGGGAGAAGATGGGAAAAATAGAGGAGATAGCTTTCCCGGGGCACTTACCAGAAATCCTAAGACTACTACCTGAGACACGATCAAAAGGATGAGACCCATATTAACACTCAATAATCCTCTGCCATAAATTAGGTTCCTGGAATCAAGCTACTTCGGTTATCTCAGCAGCAACATGAGTGAAATAATAGCCAGAGAAAGGCTGTAATTATCTTTGTTCTCAAAATTGTGGGAGGTCATTATGCTAGATGTATGAAAATGTTCCATACCTCACACCTGGGTAATGTCTAATAATTTGTGTTCAAACTTTGGGAAGTTCTACTTGTTCTACACAACCCTTTTTTCATATCATCACAAATCCACCTCCTTTTTCAATAAAGGTAGTAGACAAAATCCAAGAACAACATTGACATCTATAATACAGACTTTCAGATTACAGGCGAGTCCATCCAAAACTAGATGGAAGCCATCATAACATCCATATCCAGGTAGAACAAAATAACAAATGTTACCAGAAAATTTATCCTTAATTAACAACACATGAATTACAGTACCTTCACAATAACTAAACAGAAATAGTATATCACATATCGAAAAAGCTGGGAGGTTAAGAAAATGAAAATGGTAACAGGAAACTTAGCCATACCTTCTAGATACTCCAGCAAAGCAGTGCACCAGAACAGATCCCTCTTTTCTACCCTGCTCAATGAAATCATAGCACACATTCAAATAATCCAATAGATTCTCATTTTCCATATCCCTCAGCGGCACTGCCATCCTCACAACCTTCAAATCCTTTCCAGCGTATTCCAATGAATATAAGAGCTTCTCAGGTGATAAAGAACTCTTTGATCCATCAACGTAGTCATTTTCAGAACCTGAATCACAGCCAGCCTCACCTACATAGACCTTCTTAATTTCTGTGGTGGGGATTGTCAATCCACTGCGCCATTCGGAAAAAAATGATATCGACGCTGAACTAAGAACCGACAGAATATGTGTGATTTCGGAGCTACCATGCTGTAGAACTTCTGCTGCATCGCCAATATTTCCAATGAAGAGACTCTCACGTACGAGGTGAGGCATGACAATATGTCGAGAACAGATGTCGCAGAAGCCTAATATATAATTTCTGTAAACACAAGTGAAACTCCATTACTTTCTCTCCTTGGTTTCAGTCAAGTGATAACCACAGGCATAGTATCCCACCCCCGGTTTACTTCGATTCAAATTCAAATTTAACAACAAACCCAAAAATCGGTTCAGTATAATACCAAAAAAAAAAATATGCAATCCTTACCATACCATAAACTTATCCAACAATAGACATTGTTCCTCAATGATTATAGAAAGTAGAGTGAGCGAAAAAAGCATTATATCATTGAGCTCATCGAGATCAGCCAAACTGAAATCTAGCATTAACCAGCTCGATACATCATAATACAAACGGGATTTGACGCATCAGGTATGTTTGTTGAATAAATTCAGCAAAGAAATGTAGGTTTTCAGCGGAATCAGCGAATTTATAAGTATTATGTGAATCAAACATCGAATTGATTTTGAGGGGGTGAAGGGATCACCTGAAAATGAAATTCTGACGACGGCGAGCATTATGCTGTCTTTGACTCGCTGCCTCACTGCTGCTTTATCGTCTTCTTCAGTTGTCTACTGCGCGACTGCGGTTGTGTGGGCGCGTGTATATATATAATAGTTGGCACGTGCGAGCAGCGACGGGGAGAGCTAGCACGTGTTTTGTTTTCCCATCGGATTTCGCTTTCCACGTGGCGGAGGAAGACCGCTGAGGCTTTCTTCGACTAATTTGAGGTCGAGGGCCCATTATTTTCTTATTCCATTATGAAAATCACCGTACCGGCTTGGGAAACTTTTCCGGTTTGGCTGCCTTTTTTTCCTTTTAGTTCATTCTAAAAATATAAATTTTTTTAATACAACAAATATTAAATAATAATCAATATATTTTTATTCATGTGATAAATGATAAATTTACCTAATGAATTATTAATCTAAATATTAATTAACTATAATTGTAACAAGCTTTTTTCACTTAGGTATTAGTGGATTATAATTATAATAATCATCACATGGACATATACATTTTTTGCTGCACCGTATATGTTAAATAGTTTTTAAAATTAAAACATGGTTAATCTTACCCATACAACTAAAATCATTTTTTAGATCAGGTTAAAGAAAACCTCTAACTAATTATATAATTCTTAAATATTGGTCCTGTTAAAAAAAACTTTTAAATATTAATCAATTATATAAACCATTTCCAATAAGATGCTTTGAGACATTTCAACCATTAGTTACAATTAGCTATTCAAACATATACATTACAATTTTTTTAGTCATTCTAATCAATAGTAGGATTAATTCTTTCCACCAAATTTGAACCGGCTACATTTAGTAATTAGTTTTACTTGTGAAGTTCATCTATTTAAATGATCATGATACAGAATGAAACCTAATTCATCTTAAAAAAGCTTTGTGCGTCTCCTCTTATTGAACTACTTTCCCGTTCTCGCAATCAAAACATAATTTAACCATAAGAATCTTAGGTGTTAAGTTGAACATTATTCATTATCTTTTGTAGGTACATTGAAGCATGAGAGTTGGATTCGTGTATTTCCAAATATGTCGTTATGTGGTTTGATCCCTACAATGATTTATGTTTATTTGGCTTTTAAGCCTTTTGAACTTTCATAAGAATTGGTTTTGATCCCTATCATGATTTATGTTTATGAAGCTTGTTAAACAAATTTTTGCATTTAAGCATAACATAAATATAATTTAGCTGTTAAAGATATTTATTCAGCGAAGTAGAAATAAATTGAAAATAAATCTAAAATAAAAAGACGTTAATTTTAGTAATTATAATGGAAAATGATGTGATTTTTTGTAGTTACACATTTTATAATATGCCTATGGAGGATAGGACAGAGCAGCAGTAACAGGAAAACACCTGTGGGTGTGTGGCCTTTTAGAAAAGGTCTAAATTATTATAATAGTAATGAATTTTCAGTCATGAAAACAGGTCACGTGCTTGTCCGTATCAGTCACCATTATGCCTAAATTAGCCATTGCCTTCTCATTCTTCGGGCAAACACTTTAAGCGGTGGGTTAGTCAAAATCGTTTCTTTTTTTATTGATAGTGTTGGAAAAATTTAGTTACCGATAATATTTTCTCCTTCTATTCATTAGTGAAAACTAAACCACACACAATAATAAAAGATATAGGAAAAAACACACAATAATAAGAGATATAGGGAAAAGCATAGAAACGACACAAATAATTTAATTTATACGGGTTCACCCAACTATGGGCTACGTCTAGTCTTCCGTGATACTAGGTTCTACTATGATATTGAGATAAATATAATGAGTCTCATAGACGCTCTACAAAGCTTTTTGTAGATGCCACAACAATGGCAACCTAGTTTCTAAGCACTACGACAATAGCTACTTCGGAATACAGAATGAAAAACCTCACTAACCTCAAGAGAATGGACTGCCGACGATGCTCTACAGACCAAATTCTCTTTTCTTCTCTTCTCTGCCAAGTACTGCCGTGATATGAACCAAGGAGCTCCCTTTGTTATGCCTCATGGACCAATTACAAGATCGAGACCTCGGAAACTTCAACAAGCATTACTACTTCGTGTCCAAGCATTCGTGAACTCGACAAGAGAAATAAAGGAAGATGTGCATGTTAGGAATGTCAAAAGAGAGTTTTTTTTTTTTTTTTAACAAAATATCCTTTATTGTCTCGTATGGAAAGATTTATCAAAAGGGTTTTTTGGAAATAAATAACAACCAGTTTATTACTAAATGTATTGGGCCCAGAACATACCCACATTTCGTCTTGCTTTAGAGTGGGCTGATGTTGGGCTTATAAACATACTCATATAAATTTGGTGGGTTGATTGGTTTTGGGCCATGCAGAAACATTTCTTAACATTATTACATTGAACGTTTCTTTACCGTTTGCAATTTATGTTTGTAATAATTTTAATGCAAACAGTTTTATAATCAATTTTTAGGAAGAAACGTTAAAATTTCAAATGCTATATAAACCCATCTCCACTCTCATTTGAGATACACCCAAAAATTCTTCTCCTCCTAATTTTCAAACTTTTGTTCTGAGCTGATTCTAATTCGTTTTCCGGCGAGTGCACGCTTCAATTCGGGTGTTGTGTTAACCTTGGGAAGCAACCGACAATTGACGATTTAGCACCATGGTTGTGTCGAATTTTACTTTCAAGGCAGTGGGTTCCACGACACAACAACATATTTTTTCTATATCGTATTCTTCCTTCCTTTGCTCTTACAATTTGAAAGCAAAATTATGGCTTCACTAAGATCCAGCAAAGTGCTTCCAGATCTATCCAAACTCGAATCATTGGATGGATCGAATTACCGACGCTGGTCTCAGAAGCTACTCATCTTTTTCAAGCAATTGGAGGTAGACTACGTCCTGACAACCACCGCTGCCGATGTAGCCGCTGCCGCAGGAGTTCCCGCCGGAGCCACCGCCGCCGCTGGAGTTCCGTCGGAGTTGCCGCCACCGCTGCAAATAAGTTCGAGAAAGATAATAAGACTGTTCGCGGGCATCTCCTCAACCATATGAATGACTCGCTTTTTGATCTTTTTGTTGCCCAAAAATCTGCAAACGTTATTTGGGACACCCTGGACTCAAGATATGGTGGAGATGATGCCGGGAGAAAAAAGTACGTGGTTGGCAAATGGCTGCAGTTTCAAATGGCAGATGACAAACCAATCATGGACCAAATTCACGAATACGAGAACTTGGTGGCTAATGTTCTGTCCGAGGGTATGAAGATGTGCGAAATATTCTAGGCAAATTGATAAGAATCATGGTATTTCGCACGTCTCCACTGGACCTATTACAGGAGCCAAGGCTAAGAAGCTTCAACAAGCATTCCTTATTCACGTACAAAATTGGATAGGCTCAGTTCAACCTTTATTTCAGATGCTGCAAAATAATCCAAGAGAGGATGATGTTGTGAAGGTCAACGTTTGCAAGATTGACGTTGTGCCAACATTTTAAAGATTCATTTGTTGTTTCTAAGTCATCAAATTTTGTTTGTAATTTTTGAGTTTTTGGCCTTCCAAATTATGGTTTCAACTTTAGAGTTCAATTCTGGGAAGTTATTAAGTAGACCAATTGTGGTCATTACTACTTATGGATTTTATTTTGGAAAGTGAAGAGTTGGGGGTTTCACTCATATAATGGCTATAAAAAGCCCCATCCAAGCTATGTAAAAGACAGATTTTAGCTTAATGAAATTTGATCTCTCAAGAGAGATTTTCTTTAGAAATCCCATTGCCATTTCTAAGGTTTCTTGCAATTCTTGTGATAGATTGCATTTTGAGCCATTCAATCCAGCCTTGATCAAGTTTGATTGTGGAATGACTCATTCTAGAACAAGATCTCCATTCTTGCTTCTAGATCTTTGATCATAGAGGTAATCAATTTCTAGCATTTCTCTTGGTTGATTCTAACTTGTTTAAGGAGGTGTTAATTTCTTTGATTCAAGGGTTCTTGCTCAACAAAAGCTTGGATCATTGGGCTGAGAATTAGGATTGCCTTATCACAAATGTATTGCTCGAGAAATTTCCCCTTCCTGGAGTGATTATCGCAATCATCTGAAGCACAAGAAGAAAGATTTAACATTACAAGAATTGATCAGTCATATACACACAGAAAAAGCCAATAGACAAAAGGATAAGCTCTCTTCTCAGTTTGTCAATTCAATTAATGCTAACTTAATTGAATCTTCTGTTGCAAATAAAGACAGGTTCAAAGGTAAAGGAAACCTGGTTGCCAAGGAAAGAATCCAAAAGAAGAAAGGATTTCAATTCAAGAGTTCCAGTGGAAGAATTGAAAAATTAAAGATAGTATGTTTCGTGTGCGGAAAACCTGGACATAAATCCTACCAGTGTAACCAAAGGAAAGGAAAGCCAGAACAAAAGTATGTTCCACAAGCCAACATTGCAGAGACTGACGAAGTCAGTGCTGCTGTGGTAGTGGAGGCAAATTTGGTGGAAAACAAGTTAGACTGGATTCTTGGAGCTTCCAGACACTTTTGTTCAAACCGAGACCTATTCCATGAGTTTAAAGACTCCACTGACGGTGAGTGCGTCTTTACAGGTAACTCAGCTACCGCTGGAGTCCTTGGTAAAGGGAAGATTCTTCTAAAACTTACATCTGGTAAAATTTTATCCTTAAGTGATGTTTTGTACGTTCCTTCTCTACGTAGGAACTTGGTATCTGGAAGTTTACTAAACAGGGCGGGGCTTAGGATTGTCTTTGAAGCTGACAAGGTTATCATCACTAAATGGTGATTTTGTTGGTAAGGGGTATCTGGCTGATGGTCTATTTGTTCTTAACACTATGTCTGCTTCTAGTACAATAAATGAAATTGTATCTCGTTCTGCTTATATCGTTGAATCCATTGATATATGGCATGGTAGACTAGGTCATGTCAATAATGCATCGATTAAAAGACTTAAAAGTTTAAAATTAATCAATGCTTCTGAATTGCATGAAACTAGAAAATGTCATGTTTGTGTAGAAGCAAAATTTGCTAGAAAACTGTTTAAACCTGTCTTAACTAGGAGCACT